GAAGCACTGTCTGACGTGTCTGCCTCCGCGACCCGAAAGGAGAAGCGGCGATGGAAGATGAAGATGAAGAAGGAATATACTAAGAGAGCGGACGTTAGCTCTGATGCATTTATGCGTCATATATGGGGTAATATTACGGTGATGTTCCTGAACGAAGTTAAAAGTTGTGAAGCGTGATCGATTCTTCCGTTTGTACTTCAGCGCACATGTCAGAACTGACAAAGGAAAAAAGGGAATGTTTGTAGTTGTTGAAATGTCAGTCTCACTTGCACTTTCATGGTTTGGTGCCATTTGTGTCGCCCCTCATTTTATAAAACTTATGGTACGGCCCTAATCTTTGTTCTGTACCATCGGTCAGCAGTGCTTTATTTTTTAAGGCAGGATATACAGCTATGTTACAAATATATCACCTAGTCTTCTGTTTGTTTGCAACAAAGTGGTACTCGCTTATCTCCCTTAGAAGGAGGAACGGCAAGTGACCAGCCGTGGCTTAAACACGAATGATCCTCTCAGTCCTGAGTATGATGATTGAACAACCCCACTTTAGAACCGTCAACTGGAGATGAAAACGGGTGGAAAGAAGTAATGCCCCAATATTACAATGATTTATATAACATTGCTAAACTTCTGCTCTGCAGTCGGTATGTGAATAATGAGTGTTATTATGTCAAAACATACATCTGGAATCGTAATTCTTTAGGACAGTGACTACTTATCAACGTGGTTATGGCTTCATTGTATTTGTTTTCTGTGGTGTTGTATGCTCCCATAAAGGGATGAAGCAAGCTCTCGACCCATCGCCTCCAGATTGTCTGCAAACTGCATCTTTCAGAATCGACGATAACCTCAAGATCGATTGACCGAAAATTTACCACTAATTGTAAATTACGTCTTCACAAAGATATGATATTTCTGACTGGTGGTACTGAAAGTTTCTTCAGCGCTGCCCTATCAGCTTCGTTAATCAATGATACCATAAATGGCTCGTATTGTGCTAGGCCAAAGAAGATAGAATCGAAAGTTCTGCAAAGTTTTTTCTCTTTTCGTGCTTTCTGAACACTTGAATATTCTTTTGAGTGACCTTCTTGTCATATTTTTTCAACGTTTTAAATGCAATTCCTTAAAAACCCTTTCGTGACTGGTAACATACTTTGCTGTACGCTACTGAATGGTTTTCGTTTCAGTTTTCTATTGGAAAGTTTCTGTTGTTCTGGTTTTTATATTTGCTAAAAGTTTTGCTTTTAGCATACGTTACGTTTTTGAACCCGGTGGTTTCATATTTCGTTTTCGTAGTCAAATGCTGTTGTCTAGTAAGCTTCAGTGTGGTTATTTCGCTGGCACACGACTTCTCCTGGGCTTTCATTATTCACGTTTACTGCTTCTACGTTTACGCAGCAAGGTTAGCTGTTTTTCGATTCATTACAGCAGTTTGGACCAGAGGACGGTCATTTTATGGCTGCTTTCCGTATATTGTAGTAGAGAAACGCATTCACATTCATTTTGTATCCCGAATTGGATAGAGCGTTATATTTCGTTTTATCATATGAAAAACATATTATCTGGACCACAGTTAATATGGCATGAACATGCAAGTTAATAAATTTAGATGGCGTCGCAAGCGTCGTAGGCGAAACGTTTCATGGTATCTTCAGTTGTAGTGCAAAAATGAAGAAGAATGGCAGGATAAGCTAGAACATTTAGAAGCAGATGATAAGAAGACCAACCAGACCGTTGGTTGATCAGTTTTACTTCATGGCGAGGTGCCGCTTTATAATGTGACTCATGAATCCTGTTTTATTATTTTTTCTCACCTTCGATTTAATTTATCTTTGTACTGATCTGCCTGTAATATTCCATGTTTAATTCATCTGCATTTACTGGATTGTTAGCGATTTTCTGTTTTAGGCTATATCGATTGCATGTGGTCACCTTAGTTGCTTTTAGTCGGCTTTTTCGCGGCCAAAAGTACAATCCATTACGTCAGCGAATCGATTCTTGTCATTTTGACTCTGAGCAGCTTTTTGTTGGAACTTTGGTTTTCATAATTTTGTTGTTCCTCCTACCAACAGTATTGACCTATTATGTCGTATTTTCCGGTTTTAGAGTTGTCATCTGCATATTTCAAGCCTTCCTCCGAAAGCTAGCTTCATTGGCAATCGTCTTAACAGCACTCGCAGATGCTGAAATGACAATAAACTTCTCGATTTCGAACCAAATATTGTGGACTGCAGACAAATTGTTCAAAGGCATCATCATCTGACATTTCGTCTACGTGATGCACAAAGCATTCCTACTCTTTCAGTGAAGATTTTTCTTCGTAGTCGCTGTGAAGAAATCTAGCTAGGATTGTGTTCAAACCTAATGTTTAAACGGCGTGTCATTGCTGCCTCTATTTAATCAAAACAGGGTGATTTTGATCTATCTCTAAAGGCTAGTTTCGGTACTGACGAGGTTCTACCGTTTTCTGTATTCCTGTTTTATCATCACTTTTTATCGATGTAATTATTATTGTCTTGTTACTTGGGGAAAAAAGTAAATTGTTTGCGGTTAATTCTAGTAATGCAACAGGGTCTTGATGTCTGAACGATTATACATTCTGCAGTGATGAGTGATTCGTCAAATTCGCGCACAAGCAAATGTATCTGCGTGAATACAATGAAATCACTCCTTCTGTCCCTTGTTTTCTTCAGCGGTTGAGCCACAGACGCGAGTAGACGTTTTGTACTCTTCTCGACATTGTTCCCTTTGCATGCACCATTGATCAAGCAGCTTCGTCATTGAGTCGTCCCCGTGTGTTGGTGGACGTCTGTGTGACTGACAAGCCGTTTAAATGGAATTTTGAAATCACCGTATAAAAAGTTTTTTCAAGTCTACATCAGTAGCTACGCACAATTACCGGGTGCTTACAGATCTGTTAACAGCCCAAATGTAACGAATTGGCGTTGAGAATTCCAGGTTATGTGTGAGCTGATGTTAAGATATAATAGAATTTCGAAGCTCTTTGTGTAAACTTAACTACACATTCTCAGTCTAGAGGTGCTTAGTTTGTTGCTACAGTCAATCGTTCCTATTAGTGAAAATGGATGTTAACCTCAGAATTGAAATTCATTGATTAATTTTCCGGAAATTCACGAGTGCTGGTGTTCGTGAGCCAGTGGCATAGAGCCATGACCATTCATTTAGTTTGTTAAGGTCTAGAGATTACCTGTTCTAAAAGTCTGCTGTACAGCAATTTAATCTCTGAGTCATGTCGGCCACTGTGAATATCAGGAGCTGCAGTGGCGGTATCTAAAGATTTTCAAAACATTTCGTTATCTTTGGAAGATTTTTTTTTTGTGCGACGTACGTTTCCATCTGAACTAATCGTTATTCTAATGATGCTTTATTTTCGCATGCGCAGGTAAGGACACCCTGCAGGAAGGCATACCGTTGTTATCGACAGAAAGAGTTCAACTTCATTCCGAACGATCAACATGCTGTTGCTGTTGCTGCTATCACTAGCTGTGCTGTAGCTTGCTGAATTTTAGCGAAAACTCACAGTACCTAAAAATGTTAATGGATTGTTTCACACACACACACACACACACACACACACACACACACACACACACACACACACACACACACACACACACAGATAGGTGCTTTAACGATTCGTAGTTAAAGGTACCGAATACAACAGATGGTACAACAGTTTACTGCCGATGCGTTTCGCTGCGTAGAGCATGGTATCATCAGGGCAAGGCTAAGAACAAATGACAGCTTCGAGGCACTGATCACCAAAAATGAGCAATACTTCTCAATCAAGACGTTATTAAAGTAACAGCCCAGAAGGTTGACCAATAAACGGTGCATCAGCCTTGCCCTGATGATGCAATGGTTTGTGTAGCGAAACATGTCGACAATAAATTATTAGACCATCTGTTGCATTTGGTGCACTGAACCATGAATCGTTCAAGCACCTGTCTGAATAATGTGTAGTCCTCATTAAAACAATCAAACCCTTTTTGTGCAAACACAGTTTATCATAACAACTTTGCAATTGCCCCCAGCTAATTTGCTAATAACCATAGAAGATGTGTATTCACTGCACATCCGGTTTTCCATTGCCAGTATATCAGATTACTCCTATATCAGCGGGCCTAATTTAGATAGGTCTTTGTCTATAATAGAGACACTGACCTGACTGAAAGATTGCCCTTTAGTAATCGCATGTTGGGCAAAAACGGAATTGATAGAATTGGTTGATGCACTCAAAGAGCTAAAATGTGACAAGTGTCGGTTAGCCCACATTCGGAATTCGACTTTTTTTCTCAGGACATGCCTCAAGAATCACGTCACTCTTGTTAATTTTGTCATCAAGTAAAAGCTTCAATATTGTGTGGATGCCAAAAGCGTGACTGTTCAAAGAAGCTGATGAAGAACGAGATTGCAGGACTGCTTCGATCACGGCAATATTACAAACTATGTGTTGCTCGCTAGTAGAACACTGCTGCTGAACAGGTAAGTGAACAAGATTTTTAATTAATCCAAATTAATACTTGAAGGAATTATTGGGAAAGAATCTAATGTCGTTCGTACTCTTTCAATAACGTGAATGTTAATTCGC